TTCTTGGTTTCCAATGTACAACGAAATGCTCTGTACCACTAAGATTAGTGGTAAATTTAAAGCTATAGAATTCTAAAGTCCTGGCGTATTATTTGAGGCTGTTATTATAGACAATTTTAACAACAGGCTCAGAACACATTTTCTTAGATTTCAAATTCCTACATAATGTTATTTGTAAATAGCATATTTTGTTAAGAAGTTTTTAAAACCCATATTGCCAAGAGGATAATTAAGGCCTTTTGAAAAACAATTAACTGCTCAGAGGGATTCTAGTACTTGTTTTGAAATGTGGAAACTACTAAAGCCAGAAATTTTAAATATTGAAAATGCATGCCAATGTGTAGCTATCACACAAAAAAACACACGTGGAAACAATGGGATGCACTTATTGAAGAGTTTCTTTCTTCAGTTACTTTACAGATGAATAAATTCACCATAGATTTAAATACTGGTAGCAAGTCACATTTATTCAGAAAATAATTATTAAACATCTATCATGTATTAGTCAGAGTGCTCCAGAGAAATACAGCTGTTTATTGCCTCAAACTATAGGTATATATAAAGAGATTTATTTTAAGGAATTAATTCATGCAATTACAGGGGCTGGCAAGACCACATCTTCTGAGAAAGCTGGCAGGCTAGAAATTTTGGCAAGAGTTGATGTTTCAAGCATGTGTCCAAAGGCAAGCTGAAAGTAGAGTGCCTGTCTCTGTATTGGACCTCAGTCTTTTCTCTTAGGGCCTTCAGCTAATGAGGCACTCTTGAGTTATGCTTTACCCAAAGTCTACTGACCTTCATGTTAATCACTTCTAAAAACTACCTTAACAGCAACATCTAGAATGGAGTTTGACCAAACAAACAGGTACTGTAAATTTAACCATCACAGGCTACATGGAACGGGAGTTTATACTAGGGATCAGATGACTTTGGCATAAATCTAATGAATGGGTAACCAGACAAACATGAATTGCACTTGTCTTAAGTGTCAGAAACAAAAGGCAAGGGTACTTTGAGAAGTTGTAGAAAAGAAACCTAGTCTGGTCTGAGGGGTGGCTTCTCTTAAAATTTAAAAGTGACATTCAGGCTGAGGCCTGCAGCCTAAAAAGTACCATTAACCAAGTGAAGATGGGAGGAGAAGTTTCCACGTAGAGGAGACCCTGAAGGAGGCAGGAGCAAACAAGGAGCTGAATACCAAGACCCTTTGGAGAAAGTTCAGCTAAAGAAAGTTTGCAGTGTGGGAAGATCCACATCTTTCAGGATCTCACGGTACAGACTTGCCACTACCAAAGTAGAGCAGTTATGATGAAAAGTCTCTCTATATGATCTGGGCCAAACAGTAGGAAGAGCAGGGTGACCAGTTAAGAGACAAGAGGATAGTTCCTGTAGAGGCAAAGATGAAGAGAGATGACTTAGCTCAAAATATATTTTGAAGGGTATTTTGGAGAACACCATAGTTTGAGACTTGATGAAGTATTTGTCAAGGGTGATTCCAAGACTTCAAGCTTGCTCAACTGTTTGGACAGTGGTACTATTGTTGTGAGAGGGGATGCTAGGGAAAGAGGGGATGCTAGGGAAAGAAGGTATGTTCAATATGGGGCAGATTAACCTTGAGGCACTTATGGTGTAGCCAAAAGGAGAGGTCTAGTAGTCTGAGGGCCAAGGAGCCCTTGGACTCTAGAAAGACATTGATGATGAAAGAATGGATGAGATCACTTGGACAGGGGTCTCTTGATAAGAATAAGAGGAAGGCCAAGGACCAAGCTCACAGCCACAGACCAATTGCAGAATGAGAATGGTCTAAAAAGTATGTAGAGACCAGTGTCTCTACAGTCCAGGGCTGTGTCTCTCCCGGCCTTTCTTCTGTAATCACATTTCTTTCTCCACAGTCAGATAAGATTCTCTACCTTTAAGGACTCCTGAGATTAGGTTGGGCCCACCTAGGTAATCCAGTATACTTTTTTTATCTTAATGACATCTATAGCTTTAATTCCCCTTTCCAGGTAAAATAATATGGTCTTCCCTTGGTATTTGTAGAGGACTGGTTCCCAGTTGCCCCAATATAATATATAAGTTGCTCAAGGCCCTTATATAAAATGGTAGTGTATATCACATCTGCCTGTATACTTTAAATCATTTCTGGGTGACTTACAGTACCTACAGCAATATAAATGCTATGCAAATAGTTACGATTTATTGATTAAGGCATAAGGACAAGGAAAAAATATATATATATATTTAGTAAAGATGTAATAAAAAATTCCATCCAAGGTTGGTTGAATCTGATGTGAGATTCATTAATATGGAAGGCCCACTGGGTATTCATGGGTTCCAGATTACCTGAGTTATTATTAAGAGTATTATGTCAGGCATGATGGCACATGCCTGAAATCCCAGATACAGGAGAATCTGAGGCAGGTAGATCAAAAGTTGAAGCTTGTGCTACATAGCAGTTCAAGACCAAATTGGACAACTTAGCAAAATCCTATCTTAAAAATAAAGAAAAAAAAATCACTTGGATTTAGTTAGGTGATAGAGTGCTTGAGTGCCTGCAAGAGGCCTTGGGTTCAATCTGCTGTACGCCCCCCCCAATCACAGATTATTATTAAGATCCATTATTCTGCTTACCACTAAACAACTATGCAGAAAACTGAAGAAGCTGGGTGTGGCAACAAATATATTCCTAGAGCTCTTCTGAATGGTGTATATTAGCTCATTTACTCATCAAAGTGCCCCTACAAAGTAGGTAATTACTGCTCCACTTGAGAAGGAGCTACTGAGGACTAGAGTTTTAATTTGTCAGTTTGCAAATTTCAAACTATCAGTTATTGCTAACTAAACAACTCCTCACTTTATGTGCCGAAAAGATGTAAATCACTACATTTTTACCCCAGTCCTATTAGGTAGGCATTTTCATACCATTTATAGGTGAAGAAACAGAGGCACAGATAGCAAGTGAATGACCCAGCTTCCACACCCAGGCTGACTGGCTCTGGGGTCCAATTTCCCCTCCAAATAACTGACAGGTGATCATTTTTGAAACTGTGGGTTGAGTATTTTTTCAGACATTGCTGCTACTGGTTTTTTTTAAGTATTTTAAAAATTTTAAATATTAATTTCATAGGCTAGTCCATCTTCCATTTCTGAACTTCTCCTTGACTTTCTCATGCATAAATAAGAAAAAGGTGATCTATAGCATATCTTTCTACCAATTCCTCTGTTCTATAAACAAAATGCATTCAGTATCACATGCCAATTTTCTTCTCTTTTTTTATTCGTATTTTATTGTTGCATTTTACATGCCAGGATTTATGCTACATTTTATTATTGTTCTTTTGGTAATCATTTATCATTTACCATAAACATTTATTTGAGGACTTACCACATGTTAGGTTTTATGTTAAGCACATTACTTGGTTTACTTTATGCAACCCTCACACAATATTTGCTTTGCATTATGATTACTGTTTTACAGAGCAGGAAATTGAGCTCAGAGAGGCTTTGAATTTTGTTCAAGTCATACAACCAGCTAATGCAGAGCTGGGGTAGAAGCCACAAAGCCTCAGAAGTCCTTAATACAATTTTGTTCTGATGTTGTAAGTGCCAGATTTGGAAGAGCATCAGATTAGATTTCAAAGGATCACTTGACCTACATATAAGAATGTGAAGTGGGGAGAAGTGAGCAATATTTCTACCTAAAACATATTTTTCTGGTTCACTCTACTAGTAATTTCCATAATTAGAGCCTTTCCCTTGGGTTTTGCTATGGGGTTCAAAGGACGGTTTAAATGTGACTAAATGGGGCAATGATTTAACCACTTATTCCCTGAGAAATGTAGACAAATTATCAAGTTTGAAGCTAAGAGAGCATAACCCTATAAAAATAATCATGGGTGAAGTTTCTAGACCTTTATGACTGAGAATTGGGAAAGGTATCACCAAGTGTAAAGGGTGTGTGTGAGTGTGTGTGTGTGTGTGTGTGTGTGTGAAACCATGTTGTGTATATAAAACAGGTAAGTGATTACACAGGTGTCAGACTGTAGAAAGAACATATTCTATAAGAGAAGAAAGCAGCTAATTGGATATAAGAACTTACTAAAAAAAAAAGACTATGTCACTCAACAATCCTGCTTCAATTTCATTTTAAACTTAAAGGACTCAGAAATTCCTGGCAACATTGACAGTGGACAATTGGTATAACAAAATCACTCATTTAAAAGGCTTGTGAAATTCTTTAGTGTATGCTTTATCCTCCGAACAACCCATGTGAATGACCTCAGATGGCAGGTGGGGCCAGTTTTAAGATCAGCCCAGAATGTGATTCTACAGTCCCCATTCAGTGATGACCTCAGTCTCTCTCAAGAAAGCCATTACATATCCAAATCCTTCTACAGCAACATAATCTTCAACCTGTCCTTAAGAAAGATGAAAAGGCATTATGTCAGTGTCCACCTAAAGGACCTCACCAAATCACCTCATAATCTCTCTCCAGGGTGATACATTTAGTTCCTTCAGTTTCTCCTTATTTGTCTGGCTTTCTTTCTAAACTGCACATTTGCCAATATAACAGAAGGCCAAGTATAATTTATAAGACTCACAGTATTAATAACTTATGGGAAATGACCATGATTGCTTACAGTTGATTAGAAGTGAGGAAGTAAGATACGTGCTTACAGTGAGAGAAGGATTGGCAAATAATAAGGAATCACAAGACAAGTTAACATTCTTGCAAGTCTCTAGGAAAATTCCTGTCTTAGTTTACCAAAATCTTATTCTTTAAAGACAAAATCACTAATGATGATATTCTTCTAAGGAGCTATTATAGGAATTAAGCAATTATCATTTGAGAATGTTGAATACGGCATTGGTGTTCTGAATATTATTCATGAATCTTAAATCTCTGCCCATATACAATACTTATTAATGAGCAGTGATCACATTATTCATATTAATCAACATTAGCAACTGTCAAATTTCCTAACGCTTTCATGTGTTGTTCACAGGAATGTAACCTGGAATAGTTTAGCTATTCCAGATACACACTGCTCACCTGAGCTAGAAGAAGGCTACCAGTGCCCCCCAGGATTTAAATGCATGGACCTGGAAGACCTGGGACTTAGCAGGCAAGAGCTGGGCTACAGTGGCTTTAATGAGATAGGTCTGTCTTACTCGTAAAATACATTTTTAGTTTCTATTTTATGATGTTTATGAAATGGAGAGAAAAATTGTAGACTTGATATTTCATGTTACAACTGGCTATAGCATAAAAGAGGCATGAAAGCAAATTTCAATTTTATACTTATGTTTTTACATACTCTGCCCTGCAGTCTGCACCATACTATGTACAGTTAACCATATCTCTATAGAGATAAAGATCTCTCATCTTAGACTACTTTGATTCTTAATTAATACATATTAGAATTTAATTTAATATATTATATATAAATATATTAGAATTTACTTTTATATATATTAAATTTAGTATATATATTCTAATATATATTAGAATTTACTTTAATATATCATATACTAATATATATTAGAATTTAATTTAATATATTATATATAAATATATTAGAATTTACTTTAATATATTATATATATTAAATTTAATATATATAATTAATATATATTATAATATATAATTTAATATATATTAGAATAATAATATATAATTTAATATATATTAGAATATATTAAAATTAATATATATAATTAATATATATATTATAATATATAATTTAATATATATTAGAATATATATATTAAATTTAATATATATAATATATTAAAGTAAATTCTAATATATTTATATATATATATATTAAAATTAAATATAATATATTAAATTTAATATATATTCTAATATATATTAGAATTTAATTTAATATATATTATATATATTAACGTATATTAGAATTTCTAAACTTATTTGTTGACTCAAAAGATAAACCAGACTTGATTTCCTTCTACATGTAACTATACTCTAGTAGCCAAGGTAAGTCTAAAATTTTTTTATTAGGCATAAATCACTGTGAAAAGCTGAAAAGTACACTGGAATAAGCAACAGCTAGTGAAATGCTTAGTTAATATGCATCAGTTGTGTAGTAGTTAGATGGGAAATGTGTGTGGATGACTATGACATGACAAATGTATGTATTTCTTCTTGGGTTGTCCTATTAAGTCCTAGACTGTGTCATTACATGCTTAATGAAATAAATATTGCATCTGCCATTTAGTCCCATTATATTAATAAATATGTAAAAATTGTAATAACAATTTTATTTAGGTTACACATATTTCATTACTAAAGAAAAAACATGAAATTCTGCACAAGCATTTTTATACCTTGAGAATTGCTATTGAAATCATTTTTTTAAGAACAAATGGTAGTTGTGCTCTTTCAGAAGCCAAATTTATTTCTTGACTTTCAATGTGGTTTCACATATCAGTATGAAACTGCAGTGTGAGATTCCATAGCTAGAGGTTAGTTCATAGCAGCTCTGGGATGATGTAAAGAACCCTGAATTGGGAGTTCAAGAAGGACATGTGACAGTCTTGTACTGATTGTGGAATACTTTCCTGATTTCTAAACTAAACCACAAACCTACAGCTTTTAGACAGAACACAATACTGAATTTGGGCTGGAAAAACACAAATAGATGATATTTTAAGTAAATTTTGCAAATAAGATCTTTAAGTTCAATTCTTATATTTTCATATGCCCTCATACTATATTTCCAGCACATAGTTAGATAATATTCTTCCATTTCTTTTGACTAATGATATAATTTTTTATTTCACAAAAATCTAGAAGCCTACCTATGTGATAAGAAGCATTTCAAATTGCTGTACTCAAACTTGTCTGCCTTTGATAATCATAATAAGCCTTTTCCTCTGTCTCAAAGGCAAGGAGGCCTCTTACCAATTTTCACAAGGACTTTCAGGCCTGAGCAGGAAATTGCAGATGTGGTATGAGAGATGAGCTATGTAGATTGACAGGCTGCATGGAACAAACTCTAGTTTTGTCACCAGCTAGACTAGTACACAGAGCTGTAGCTATTCCTTTCAGGGGCTAACTGGGTGTGCCCATGTCCCCTATAAAGAGTTGCCAGCATTGAAGTGTTCACCTGCCCTGGCACAAAAATATCTCTGATCCTTCTAAATCATGTTGCTAAAGCTAATCACATCCTGAGCACTTTAAATGCTACAATCGTACCTGAATGCAACATGTCGATTATATTCAAGTTGGTTCATCTTTCTTCACTGCAACTTATAAGGACTTCAATTAGTAAAAATTAAAGTCTCTCTTTGAGAGAGAAGGTCTCCTGAAGAGTGTGGGTTTGACAGCCCCAGTCCTAGGACAGAATTGTGCTGGGGGCCTTTGGCTCCCACAACAGCAATCATCCAGTGCACATTAATTTGCACATTATTCTCTGGAGAATTTAAGCTCCATGCAAACAGGAAGTGCACCTTTTCATCTTCCTGTCTCCAGAGCCTTGTGCAATGTGTGGCTCATAGAAAGCACTCTCTAAATATTTACTAAAGTGTGTGTCTTTTTTGATTCATCAGCAGCCAGTCATACTTGTATTGGGAGATAGAGCCACAATAGAGAATTATGTTGTTTTTTGCTTGTTCTTTTCCCTAATTTTGTCTGCTTTTGTTGGGATACTCACTCTCTATTGAGCATGACTTTTCTTTCTGTATAATAAGCTAAGTTATTCTGCTTCTTTGTCTCAAATGATAAATGAATTTGTCATCATTACACAACTAATACTGAAATGTTGACTTTGTACTATCACCAAAAGATTTTTAAATGGTCACTGTAAGTTTAGATTGAAATGGATAGCTTTTTCCTGATATTATATATCTCTGTAGATATACAAATTGCTGAATTTTGGAAGATTATTTTCAAAGTTCTTATCAATGACTTCTTTGCCTCCAAAATGAGGCAGAGAAATACTTTTAGTAGGCATATTTGAGCATCTCTTTCTGCATCAGTTGAACTTAAAGTATAGTTAAGTGCTTAGTTGTACATATGACCTTGGCCAATATATTTGTATATGTAAGTAATCATGGTTAATTAAAAGTCAGAACATTTCATGTTCTTCTGAGATCAGAGGAATTTGGTCTTCTTCAGGGTGCTAATGTCTGTAGGCCACATTTCCTTTTACTTACTAATCAAATTACCATGAAAAACATTGAATTTCAATGCAATTATTACCTTTGCTGGTTATTAAAATTAATATTGATGATGTTGAAAAATTCAAATTTGAGTAACTTTAAAACAACCAGTGCTTTTTTTCTGTTTCTGCTTTCCTCAGTCTTTTTTCTGTCTATAAAATCAACCTCCCCTGCTCAACTTACTGGAATAGTCATTCTATCTTATAGAATAAGATGTTGTCCAATATCAGAAAAAAGAAAAAAAAAGCCAAAAAAAATTTGCATTTGAAAATCTAAAGTCACTAAACAGGAAAATTTATAAAGAAAACGTAGTGTAAAATTGAGAGTAAAGGCATCCTTGTATCCCTAAAATCATCCAAATATCAGTGAGACTGAGAAACAAAAATGCAATATCCATATCATGAATCTGAAACAACTGTAAATTATAAGCCACAACATCAGAAGGCCAGTTATCTAACAGAAAACTTCCCTAGAGAATCCTGGCCACTGAGGGTCTCAGACAAAGGCAGCAGGATGATTCTTTTAAAATATTGGATGCTGTGTCCTAGAGGACCAGAACAGTTCCCTACTTGAGTCAGGGAAATCAACATGTAGCTGATGACAGGATCTTTCTGGGGCTCTGTATAGCATCACAATAGAGAAGCCTTTATTCCTGCCAAGTAGTTGTTAGAGAGCTGGAGTAGAAGAGAAATTCAACTGTGGGGGCTCCCAGCACTGCTGATCTGGGTTCACCAAGAGGAGGGAAAATCTAAAGTAAAGTTTTTCAATTCTGGCTAATACCTTAGGATGATCTGTGGAACTTCTTGAAGGTTTGGGGCAGGAGGCCTAGTTTTCTTTGGTTTTGTCTTCCTTTTTTGTTTTTAAGGGAACAATTTTTTGTTATTATTATTGTTGTACCAAGCATACATTGTGACTTACAAAAGTTCTTACAATATATCACAGTTGAATTCACCCCCTCCATCATCCTCCTTTATCATTCCTCCCCCCAATCCTGGAAAAGTTTCAACAGGTCTCATTTTTCCATCTTCATATATGCGTATATAAGATTGCTACCATATTCACCCTCATTTACCCTTTCCTTATATCCTTCCCCTCACAGTGGTACCAGCCTCCCAGACAGGACTGTTTTGCCTTCCTATTCTCTGTTTTGGAAAAAGAAAGACATTGTTGTTTAAGATAGGTATACAGGGTGTATCACTATGAAAGTTCCATGTATATATGTTTTATAACCCAAATTGGTTCATCCCCTCTGTTTTTCCCCGTTCTGCCTTAGTCCCCTTCTTATGGTAATTTCAACAGTTTTTAAATTGTGTCTCTTTTAAATTTTTTAAAATTTTAATTGTCACATAACTGTATATATTTATGGGGGACAGTGTGATATTTCAATACGTGTACACAATGTATAATTATGGATCAGGATAATTGATATATTCATCACCTCAAACATTTATCATTTCTTTGTGTTAAAACATTCAAAATCATCTCTGCTAGTTACTTCAAAATACACAATTACGTGTTGTCAACCACAGTTACCGTAGTGTGCTATAGGACATTAGAAGTTATTCCTCCTATCCAATTATGGCCCTACACCTGTTAACAATTCTCTCCATTTCTCCTTCTCCCCAGACTCTGCTTCTAAGAGGTGAACCTTTTATTTTAACTTCAATGTTTAAGTAAAAACATGTGGTATTTGTCTCTGTAAGCCTGACTTATTTCACTTAATGTAATATCTTCCAGTTCCATCTATGCTTACAAATAACAGGGTTTTGCCTATTTTTTATAACTGAATAATATTTCAACATATTCACACATTTTCTGTATCCATTCATCTGCCAGTGGACATCTAGGTTTATTCTTATCTTGGCTTTGTGAGTAGAGCTGCTATAAACATGGGAGACAAATATCTCTGATGCACCAATTTCCATGTGCCATTCCCAGGACAATTAAATAAAAGTCTGAGAGTAATAAAAGGCA